GCGGGTTCCCAGAAGGAAGCGATTATGTGACTGCACACGACTGTCCACCTGTGGCAACCAGCGCACTACTGACATACACAATCTGCCTCCCACTTCACCCTGACCTTCACGACAAGATATCATGGTTAGCAGCACTAGGAACCCACGGTGATCTCGGAAGCAGCATTAAATGGGAACCCCCCTTTCCAGACATGGTAGCAACATTCAAGCAACATCCCAAGAAGTCCATCAACGATGCCGTAGCTCTGGCCAATGCACCACGTAGATCAGCAGCATACAATGTGCAGGATGCCTGGGACGCCGTCATCTCCGCGAACAGTCCCGGAGACATCTCGAAAGCCGACAAGCTGAAAGATGCCAGCATGGAGGTCAGACGGGAGACCGAACGCTGCACCCACACAGCTCCGAAGTTCTCTGCCGACGCTACGATTGCCGTGCTGACTATATCAAGCGCCGCGCAAATACATCCCGTCATCGCGACACGCTGGTCTGGCACCCTCAAGTCCAACAAACTAGAAATTGTCATGTGCGCAAACGAGGGCTACCTCCCCGACAAAGTCAACTTCTCGTGCCGCGTTGCGAAATGCGCGAGAGCGCGCGAAGGAGAGGAGAAGGTTGATATCATCAAGAAGTTAGAGAGCATTGCATCAGGGGACGAGGAGCTGAGAAAACGACTTGGAGAGAGCTTTGCGAGGGGGCATAAAGAGGCTAGTGGAGGGATCGTAGGAAAGGGCGAATGGGAAGAGTTCAAGAAGCTGATGGGTGTTGGAGAATCCAAGAAGAAGGAGGGAAGTGGTGTTGGAAAGAAAGAGAAGGAGAAGCCGGCGCAAAAGAATACTCTGGCGAACTACTTCGGGAAGAAGGAGAAGAGCGTCAAGGTGGAAGGTGCTTAGACTCCAAGCGGCGATGGCACACCAGACGTCTTCTTTCCTTCGAGAAGAACTAGCGGATCGGCATCTACGACTACGCACGGGAAAGGCGTCGAGGCAAGCCTGGTAAACTCTACGTCGTGCGCAACGAGGATACCACTAGCGTCGATTCCGATAGAGATGCGATATCAAACACTTCCTACGCTGCTGATCTGAAGCAATCTCGATTATGCCACCGCGGAAGAGGCGTGAAGGAATCCGGGTTGGGGCCGCGTCGCATGCACTACGCTATCCTATGCTCAGACCAAGATTAAACAATACTCAATCTATCGGAGATCGCAATCGAGAAGAACTTGCACGGAGTCGACGTTCAGGCCCATGCCCTTCCATCTTCTTTCTCCGCCATTGGCCTTCGTTACTCATTTCTTTAGACAAACCCAAGGCGAAAAGAAAGAAAACAGCTGTGGGTATTCATAGGCCCAAACCAATGATGGATGTTCTAAGGTTTTCACATCGTTTCGGATAGAACGCGGACTAGCCTTGTGAGCGGCTCCAGGCCCAAATTGCCGAAAGATCGGCATTCTCAATCAGGAACATAAGAGGATCATCACAACGACCTTTCGAGACGCACCTGACAGCTCAGGCACAAACAATCGACAGCTTTACACCAGAGCCCAAAGCCACCACACCTTGGAACAGGTTAGATGCTAATGCTTACACGAAGGCCTCGCACCGCCCCAACGCAGCCGCCCCAGTGACCACCATGACGCACATAATATACGACCTCCATATAGCCAAGCATCACCGTTGCAGTCCGAAACCCAAAAGCCCGCCCCCATTGCGCCATGTGACATCGGTACCAAACCACCAATGCCGTGCCCAATCAGGTAAAACGCTGAAACCTGGGGGCGACATGGCCCGCATGCAAATTCAAAATCTCCTCCATCTACACTCTCGCCTCCGCTTTCCTCATTCCGGCGAATGAGCGCGTGTCGTGCAAATTGAGTGCTGACGGCCTGACGGGGCACGCGCTACCCGACAGGTGCCAAGGAAAGCTTAATGCTGGTGATGTTAATCTATCTAAGTGGTCGGGGCGAAAATGAAAGAAGATAGGTGAGTGGAGGGCACGAACGAGGTGTGGAGATGACGAGGGAAAGACTGGTACAGCGGCCCGGGTGGAGTCTTGTCGTCGCTCTTAGATTACTCTAGTAAATAGCCCTAAGGCGCATGACATTGAGAAGTGAAGGGGAATAAATACTGGGAGTGGTGCCAGTGGTCGAAAGAAAGACTCGACACGAATCATCATACCCTCTTTGCTCTTTCTGCCATCTCATCCCGTCAACAATCCAAAGATGAAGTACGCCACCGTTTTCCTCGCTGCGGCGGCGACCGTCTCCGCACACTCGACCTGGCAAGAACTTTGGGTCGGCAGTGAAGACAAAGCGGGCACCTGTGTGCGAACTGTCAAGGACAACAGCCCCATCACCAGTCTGACCTCTCCCGACATGTTCTGCGGACGCGGCCCAGCTTCCACGTCTGGGGTTTGCGAAGTCGCTGGTAAGCCTTGCCGGTCCATTTCCATTATCCTCAGTCCACTCAGCAAGGCACATGTGATGGGGATATGATGATGTGGAACTGTATGACATACTAACAACCCCCCACAGCCGGCAGTTCCCTAACCGTCGAAATGCACGCCCAGCCCAACTCCCGCTCCTGCTCCCAACCCGCCATCGGCGGCAACCACTACGGCCCCGTCTTCGTATATATGGCCAAAGTCGCCGACGCCAAAACGGCGACCTCAGGCTCCTTCTTCAAAGTCGCCGAAGACGGGTACACGGGCACAACAGCCTCCTGGGGCACCGAGATCCTCAACGCCAACTGCGGAAAGCGCGCCTTTACCGTGCCCAAGAACATTGCGAGCGGGGACTACTTGGTCCGCGCAGAGGCGATTGCGCTGCATGCTGGTGCGAATAACCCGCAGCCGTATGTCAGTTGCTTCCAGGTCAAGGTTACGGGCGGGGGCAGTGCGACGCCGAGTGGTGTTAGCTTTCCGGGGGGTTACAAGACTAGTGATCCTGTCTTTACGAAGGCGATTTATGATTCTAGCTTCAAGTACGTTAGCCCTGGGCCGGCGATTTACTCGGGTTGAGAGTGTGCGTACTTTGGTGCTGGGAGGCTTTTGGGCGCCTCGCCTTCGGTCGTGGAGCTGTTGGCTTCCTTTTCATCTTTGTGAAGAATCGACTTCTCGTAGCCTGTGTACATATTATCGTTAGCGCTATTGCAGAATGAAGAACCTCATGTACATACTCAATTTAATTCGTTGCACCGCAGCCACAGTCTGCTCGCTCGAGTGGGTGTTGATATCCAGCGTCAAAGCCCCAGCGACATACTGAACAGGTTTGACGAACGGTCGACCCTCTTTTTTGACATCTGGAGGAGGGAAAAAAGATCTGTCGAATCGAGCAACCTGCCTGAAGGCATGATCGTATTTAGGCTCCTTATTTCTGCATGCTTGCGATTTTCGGAAAGTCTCAAAGTCGAATTGTGCGCAGTCCAATCCGTTGGGTTTTGGAATATTCGCGAGGGTCAACAGTTCTGTTGCTGTTCTCGTCAAGGTGTTGCGGTACGAAACCATTTTGGTGATTATCTCTAGGGCCTCGCTATTGTCGTCAAACTTTCCTTCAAGAAACTCTGTTATGCAACCGTTGATCCCCGTATTTGGGGCCAGGTTCGATCTTCCCGGGCAGCTGTTGAGGTAGAGTTCGCACTCGATCCTAAGGGCGTTTATTTTCATCGTCGATGGAGCAGGATGTTGTTGGGGGGCTTCCATTGTCGATTCGGAAGGAAATGGAAGGTCCTTCTGTGAGGACTGCCTGGTGGAGGATGGTTTGACTTGAAGGAGGAGGGTAGCAAACGAGGATTTATATACCTATAGTGCGCGACTTCAGCCTTCGTGCTCAACTAATGCGTCTGAACCGGATTCTTGAATTTGGGTAGATGTGATGTGAATTTCGGAAGTCTTGAGTGGCTCGTCTACTCTGCATCACCGCAGTACCATGGGAAGATGTTGATGGAACTGACATCAACCAACGCGTCTGGTAGCTTTGTAACTCACCAACACCCTAATTCCCCATAAACTTAAAGTCAGCATAGAACCATTCTCGAATTGGAAGGGGATGGTGAGTCTTGCTGTGGGATTCGTATGATGGAAGACTATCGCGTTGATTGGAGATGGTAGCGAACAGAGGCTTATATAGCTGAAGTGCGCTACCTCAGACTTCGTGCTAAGTTGGCGCACCTGGAACGTATTCTTGATTTTGGGTAGTGATGTGAATTTCAGAAGTCGTGAGTGGTTCGTCTGCTCTGCGTCACCGCAGTACCGTGGAAGGAAGTGGAATCAACCATGTTACAGGTCCAACGTGACCTTCGTCTCCGCGAGTGTGCGTCCATCAAACCCAATCCCCACAACCTCAACCTCAACCTCTTGCCCCTTATACCGTCCCACAAACTTCCCGTTCAGAATATGCTCCAACGCATACGCTTTAGCAAACAGCAGCCCTTGACTTCGAATTTCAAAGTGTGAAAAAGGACCAGTGATATCGCTCCACGGCATACCTGCCGTTTTGGATTCGGACTTCGCTGCATCCTCGTAGTTCCAGCACAGCCTGACATGCGCACTCTCCCCTTGACCGCGCTTTTCAACCCGTACTTCTTTGATACTGAAAGAGGAGCTTGGAGGTAGTTTCAATGTAGGCGAAATGCAAATGTCTTGGAAACCAATTAACCTCACAGGCCCACGTAAAGTCCCCCTCAACGGACCCTTAACCTGTATACCCAGCTCTTCTATCCTCGCTCCTGGCACACTGTCTAGCAACACGATCGGCTTCCGCGATAGATGCAACGTGTGATAATGCGTCGTTCTACCCGATTTGAAGTACAAAAAGAACGTCATGTCCTCCATTTCCGGTGGTCTAGGATCCTCGTAGCTGTCTAGTACCATTGAGAGTTGCAACGATCCATCGGCTGGCATGTTGAGTTTGTAGAGGGGAAGGAAGGCTTGCACGTCGCAGTCTTCAGCTGGATGCTTTTCGATGAAGCTGATTACTAAGACGTTTTGTTTGTGAGAGCGTTCTATTTGGTGCGAGAGTGTGACGCATTCGCTTTCGGGGAGAAGGCAGGCTGGACGTGGAAGAACGGATTGCGAGCCCAGTTGTGAGTTTGTGTTGCAGTTGTTGAATAGGTGTTTTGCGTCGTCATCATGTGGAGAGAATGCGCGGGTGAAGTCGGTGTAAAAGAAGTGTTCTGAGCCTGCCACGCGCTCTTTGGCTGTGTGTAGGATTGGACGCTCTTTGTTTGGCGGATGGCGCGATGTGCAATCTCCGCAGGTGCACTCAATGCCCTCCGGTAGTGGAGTACCTTCCCAGACGGTGCGTTCGACGTCCCGCTCATGGCCTGGAAAATGCTCGAACGACCATGCTGGTGCAAATACGCCAACCGACAGGCCTGTGTCTGAGAGTCTGGCCAATGCGACTCCAGTGTTTGTACCACCGCCCCCATATTCTGGATATGTGACGCGAGGATGAGTAAAACTAGACTTCTTCTGTGCCCAGACATCCACGCCAAAGTAGATACTCTTCTTCTTGCCTTTAGCGTAAGGGCCAAGATAGCCAGCGTACTGTCCGAGCTTTATTGATTCAGAAACATGAATGTCCGTCCAGCAGTAATTGGTGAGTAGGTTTTCGCATGCGTCGGCAAATTTGAGGTTGGAGCTGGTCAGCGCGTTCTGGTAAGATATCTTGTTGGGAGTGGTGAGCGCATCATACCTGGGATAGAGTCATGTGTCAGTCATGGTGGTAGTGGATGGGAGGTTGTTACCATATGAGCCGTCTATCTACTCCTAGCTCAGCCTTAAGCTGGCGTAGAAAGGCTTCGAGAACCTCTGGATCCCACACGTCGCTTGGGAAGGGTTTTTCGATGTTTATGAGCCAGCCATCGAAGCCGAAGTGTGTTGCAATGGAGGCCAACTTCTTCGCCATGGGAAAGTTCAAATCCCCAGACTCTTCTGTTGTATGATTCAACAAACGTTCCGAGCCTTCGGTTTGCGGTTCAATCAAGAAGGTGCCCAGCGCTTCCACACCATTTCGGTGAAGCGTATTCGTCCATGTTGGTGGGGGCACACAGACCAGCTTATGGGAGAAGTAGACAAAAGTATCAACAAACTGGAGATATTCACACGAGTAGAGTTCTTTGTCTACACCGGCGGCCTGCACGCTTTCGTAGTCATGGTAGTTGCCAGAATAGTCATGGATCAAGAGAGCACCAGTTTTGCAGTCGTCGGTCGGAACTCCACCGGTGGCTCGCAACAACGGCGTATTGGCTCTTTGCAGAGGGTCAGAGTCAGCCTCGGTCCACGATTCCAATTGCTCAAAGGTATCGAAGTAGGCGAAGCCCTTCAGTCGATCTAATGCGCGCTGTTGGCGCCTCTCTTCCGGGGTAGGCCCAGAGTCCGGAGTGGGAAATAGATGGCGGTAACCATCGCGAATCGGCCTGAGAATATCTTTCCACCCAAGAAGATAGGCCATATCCGACTGGTGGTGAAAGTGGTGAGTGTATGGCGACAGTGGTGCGAACTGCTGCGGGAAGTAGCGGCGATCGGGATGACGTTGGCGGCAGGGGCATGGATGTCTTGGCGTGCAAGGCTCCACAGCTCCATCCCTACGTGAAGCAGCTGGCGGAACGTGTCTTTTATGTCAGGCACTCAACAACCACCGCCCACCACGCCTCACGTCGCCAAACCTCTGCCGCTCCTTTCGCCGCGACCAGCGACCCACGCACCGCCATGATGAATCTCTTCCGACTGCTGGGTAGGCCTCGCGACACCAAATGATGTTTTGAGTATGATGTGCTAACACGTCTAGGGGATTTATCCCACCTGCTATCCATCCTGATTCTGCTGCATAAGATGAAGGTGTCGAGCGTACGTCTATCGGGAATGCACACGTGATGCGCCGCATATACTGACCCGGCACAGAGCGCGTCCGGCATCTCCTTCAAGTCACAATTCCTCTATCTGATGGTCTATCTCACGCGTTACGTCGACCTGCTGTGGACCTTCTACGAACCCAAGTCGCTCTACAATACCATTTTCAAAATCATCTTCATCAGCACATCCGCCTACACCGTCTACCTCATGCTCAACGACTACAAGCCGACGCACGACCCGAATCTCGACACGTTCAAGGTGCAATATCTGCTGGGAGCGAGCGCGGTGCTGGCGATACTGTTTCCGTACAAATACACGTTCTCTGAGGTGGGTAGCAGCAGGACTTGCAATGGAAGAGGAAGGTGCTGACTGAAATAGATACTCTGGGCTTTCTCCATCTGGCTGGAATCAGTCGCCATTCTGCCCCAGCTCTTCATGCTGCAAAGGACCGGCGAGGCGGAAACGATCACGACACACTACCTGTTCGCGCTGGGTGCGTACCGGGCTCTGTACATCCCCAACTGGATCTACCGCTACTTCTTCGAGGTGCCCAAGTTCTACGACCCGATCGCGGTGATTGCCGGCATCATCCAGACGATCCTGTACTCTGATTTCTTCTACATTTACTACACCAAGTATGTCCAACCGCCACTGAATTTGCATCAACATGCTAACAACATCCAGGGTCATCCAAGGCAAGAAGTTCAACCTGCCCGTATAGACCGCGCGCGCATGGACGCTGCTCCCTTCTGCTGTTGGCGGCCGAGTTCGGTCCTACTCTGCTTCGTATCTGGGCATTTTTGTGTTAGGTGGGCGTTTTGTGGCATTTTTATGGAAGGAGGTAGCCTCTGATAATTGGCTGGTTGGGCGTTGGACGAGTTGGACGACATCACACGACGGGTGAATGGGCATGTAGGAAGATACCTTGAAATGAATAGACGTGAGATGGTCAGAGGAATGTACTGAATATGCAAGCGATAAGGCTGAGACAGGAGAAAAGCAGTGCATGCATGTGCGCCACCGACTGCAGCCTCGAGGCATCAAGGGGAGCCGAATGCTTACCTGGAGGCGCACTGCCAATCAGCGGACGCTAATTCGGCGGCCAGGACTCCGCACCATCCATGCATCTCGCAGCCGTCAGCCCTCTTACCTTTGATACTTTGTTATCCTAATAAACCCATTTGCTATTTCTTCGTCCGCTCGCTGTTTCCACTTTGCCCGTTCGCCTCGCCGACTTGTCACATTAGTCAGCGCATCCACGTCCGCCGTCGACGATTATCGCCTCCGCCTCAGTTATCGCCGTAAAGTGCGCGCCTCACACGACACCAAACATACGTCAGGGCCATCAGGGCTGCAGCGTGCGCACGCGAGGCTCCCTACCTACGCACAACCACAGTCACACGCACAACCCACCAACCCGCCATGTTCTGCCTCCGCAGCTGGATCCCCGTCCTGTTCTTCTTGTAAGCACCCACCCACCGCATCTCCCTCCCACTGCACGCGCACTCCCTCCCTAACACCTCCCCCCACAGATTACGAACGCACGCCTCCCCCGTCTACCTCGTCCTCTTCATCTCAGCAACCTACTTCCTCAACCGACCCTGCGTGTACTGCTCGCTCCTCCTCTTCATCCTCGTCGTCGCCCTCTTCGACTTCCACACCCCGTGGTTCGATGCGCCGCTGTCCGATAGCGCGGAGCTGGCGCTGAACGGCACTGTTGCGGAGACGGCGGGTGTGCTGGCGCAGGCGGCGAATCATACGGCCAAGGCGGTGGTGAGGGGGGCGGTGGAGGGGGTTAGGGGGAGGGTTGGATTGGGCCAGAGTGAAGGGCAGGGTTATGAGTGGGTTAAGGGGTTGTTGGGGAAGAAGGAGTGGAGGATACAATGTTTGGATGTTTTGATCAGGGTTTGAATGGGGGTGGTCGATTGGGGAGATGGGGGTGCGGGTCTGCAATGTAGAGGTCTGCGAGGCGTTTGTGGCTGTTGGGCGTGGTGGAAAGGATACTATCGCATGGCTGGGGCGTATACTGAAGCATTTGCAGGCGTCAATGGCATACCACTTTCAGGATTGATATTCATCAGCTTGTGCGTGACACACATGCTTCGAGCAGATGGAGAGAGGAGGGCACTGCAGACCTCGGGGGACAACGCGCTTCAACCATCACAACGCATACATAAAAGAACAGCAAGATGGAATGCCGCTCCAGCATCCTCCCATCTGGATCTAGATAAATGCACCCAAGACCCCGCGCTAAAGCCGAACGCAGGGATTCAGCCTAGGTGGGGCGCTTCGGCGTGCCGCACGCGCACCTTCCCCTCTAAGCCTACACGCATCATCTCATGCCAGTCCAATTGAAACATTGACACCCCTCTTTCCTCTTTTGCTCAAGCCTGTTCCGTTCACATTCCCTGGCCGCCTCCCCCGCGGACCTTCACTCTGGCTACCCTACTGGTTTCCGCGAGACTCTGCTCTCGACAATTGAGGTGTAGAGCTAATCATCCTACGCGTCTGTATTCTGCTATATCGCATTCACTCTCCCCGACCCACTTCACCCGCTCTAGAAGCTTCTCTTCTGCAGCTAGAGAGCTTGAGTCTGCCCCACGTACCCAACTACGCCTAAGACCGAGGCTTGCCGTAGCAAACACAAACACGTTTGCAGCACAAAAGAGGTTCTGCCAGAGCGAAGTCACCAGCAGTTTCGTCAACATGGCTTCAGATCGCGATGTCCTCCCCGCATGGTTAGTTGATCTCTCTCCAGTACTATAACCAAGCTAACATCCCAGGGCCAAACCTTCGCACTACGCCCTCTCCCTCCACGACCTCGAATTTGGCGGCAAGTTTGCCTACAAGGGTACTGTCAACGTCACCACCAAGATCACAAAGGAAGATGGCTTCAACACCCTCGTCCTCAACGCACATCAGCTGAAGCTGCAAACCGCCGAGTTGAAGGCTGGCGACAAGACACTGTCAGCAAAGGACATCTCATACGATGAGAAGAGGCAACAGGTCACACTCGACTTTGGCGAGAAGATCAGCTACTCAGGCGAAGCACAGCTGGAGATCAAGTTTGAGGGCTTTGTCAACAACATCATGGCCGGCTTCTACCGCTCCAAGTACAAGCCCAAGGGCGACGTCCCCGCTTCCGTCGCAAAGGACGACGAGTTCCACTACATGTTTAGCACCCAATTCGAGGCCTGCGACGCCCGCCGCGCTTTCCCCTGCTTCGACGAGCCCAACCTGAAGGCTACCTTCGACGTTGAGCTCGAAGTGCCCAAGGACCAGGTCGCCCTCAGCAACATGCCTGAGAAGGAGATCAAGCCCAGCAAGCGGGACGGCTTCCACACTGTCGTCTTCGAGCGATCGCCCATCATGTCCACATACCTGCTGGCGTGGGCCATCGGTGACTTTGAGTACGTCGAGGCTTTCACCGAGCGCAAGTACAACGGAAAGAACATACCTGTCAGGGTCTACACTACCCGTGGTCTGAAGGAGCAGGGTCGTTTCGCTCTGGACAACTGCCACAAGATTGTCGACTACTTCTCCGAGGTCTTCCAGATCGACTACCCTCTTCCCAAGGTCGATCTGCTGGCTGTTCACGAGTTCTCGCACGGAGCTATGGAGAACTGGGGTCTCATTACCTACAGGTGCGTCAAGCGCTTGAACAAGCTGGACTTTATGTTAACGTCACCAGGACTACCGCTGTGCTCTTCGATCCCGCTACATCTGCCGACAGCTACCGCAACAGGGTCGCCTACGTTGTTGCTCACGAGCTTGCCCATCAGTGGTTCGGTAACCTTGTCACCATGGACTGGTGGAGTGAGCTTTGGCTCAACGAGGGTTTCGCGACATGGGTTGGATGGCTTGCCATTGATCACCTATACCCAGGTACGTCTAGAAAAAACAGTATAAGAATCTCTGCTAATCTCCACTAGAATGGAACGTCTGGGGACAGTTTGTCGTACGTCACAAATCTCGAGGTATCTACTATCAGCCTGTTGACATTTTCTCTAGACTGAATCCGTCCAACAAGCTTTCGCCCTTGACGCGCTACGAACATCGCATCCTATCGAAGTACCCGTATACGACGGTCTTGAGGTCGACCAGATCTTTGACCACATCTCCTACCTCAAGGGTTCCTCAGTCATCCGCATGCTGAGCGCTCACCTTGGCGAGAAGGTCTTCCTGCAGGGTGTTGCCGACTATCTCAAGGCCCACCAGTACTCCAACGCCACTACCAACGACCTGTGGTCTGCCCTTAGCAAGGCGTCTGGTCAAAACGTCAACACCTTCATGGACCTCTGGGTTCGCAGGATCGGTTTCCCAGTCGTCACCGTAGCTGAAGAGCCTGGTCAGATTGGACTGCGTCAACAGCGCTTCCTCCTTGCGGGTAACGTCAAGCCCGAAGAGGACCAAACTACCTGGTGGATTCCGCTTGGCCTTCACTCTGGCGACTCAGCTTCCAGCGCGTCTGTGCACGAGACCACTGCTATGACACAGAAGGAAGACACAATCCGCAACGTCAGCGACAGCTTCTACCTGCTCAACAAGGACCTCACTGGTTTCTACCGCACCAACTACCCTGCGGACCGCTTGAAGAAGCTCGGAGAGGACCGCGATCAGCTCACCGTGCAAGACAAGATTGGCCTCGTAGGTGACGCCTACGCCAACGCGGTAGCAGGTTACGGCTCCACCGCTGGTCTCCTCGCACTGGCAGAGCGCTTCCAGGACGAGTCTGACTACCTTGTATGGTCTCAGATTCTGACCAACATTGGCAACGTCCGCAGTGTCTTCTCCGGCAGCGAAGACATCAGCGAGGGACTGAGGAAGTACCACCTCAAGCTCATCACCCCAGCAGTCGAAAAGGTCGGCTGGGAGTTCAAGGATGGCGAGAACTACCTCGTCGGCCAACTTCGCGCCAGCCTCATCCTCTCCGCCGGCATCGTCGGCCACAAAGCCACCGTCGACGAGGCCCTCAAGCGTTTCGACGCCTACATCAATGGAGACAACAAGGCCATCCACCCCTCGCTCCGCCGCGCCGTCTTCGCCACTGCCATCAAGAACCGCGGCGAACCAGCACTCAAGGCCGTGCAAAACGAATACCTTCACACCACGTCCATCGACGGCAAAGAAATCTGCCTCGGCTCCCTCGGCCGCGTCCAAACCCCCGACCTCGCAAAGCAAGTCATGGACTTTGTCTTCTCCGACGCCGTCGCCATGCAAGACAAGCACAGCTCCACCATTGCCCTCGCCAACAACTCAAAGGTCCGCCCGGAGGTCTGGCACTACATTCGCGATAACTGGGACTCCAAGGTGCATCCTGCGCTTGCTGGGAACCCGGTTGTCCTAGAGAGGTTCCTCAGGTTTGGATTGAATAAGTTTACGGATAGTCAGGTGGCGGATGAGATTCAGGAGTTCTTTAAGGGGAAGGATACGAGGGGGTATAATAAGGGGCTTGAGGTTGTGGATGATACGATTAGGAGTTATGCGGCGTATGCCGAGAGGGATGCGGGGGTTGTTAGGGAGTGGTTGGGGGCGAATGGGTATGCGTGACTTAGTGGGAAGATGTGATGGGATTTGCATAGTCGAATGAGACAGGGATGATATGATATGATATGAATTGGAGATGTTGAATGTCACCTAAACATGAGCATTCATGTCATCCTAACAACGCACGTGATTCCCAGATGAGGCTGCCTTTCATCTGGGCCTAGTGTTGCAGCAACATATATCACTCACACAACAGCACCCGACGCCTTACCAGCACCCTCCAAATCTGGCGTCTTTCTAGCCGGGAATGTTGCTTCCCACAGTCTCGCAACATCCAAAAGAAGACCTTCCTGGTACTTCCCCCCAACAACAAGCAACCCAAACGGCCGCCCATTCCAATCCAGATACCCAAGCGGAAGAGTCACCGACGGATATCCTGTGCACGTAGTAAGAAGAAGCTTAGTTGATAGACGTGTACAGGGCAAAGGAGGCTTACTGGCCAAGGCAACAACGTCAGGTAGCCGGCTATCCGCCGGACTTATAACAACGTCGACGTTGTGAGAGTGGAGCGTTTTGTCGATTGCGTTGGAGGTGGCGGAGGCAGTCGCCTTCACATCCAGACGGTCATACTCTGCATCCGTGAGCGAGTTCGCATCTTCCAGACTTTGAATAAGCTTGTCTTGTCTCGGAGAAACTAACGATAGCTGGCTTTAGCGGTGAACAGAAGATGAGAATGGCATTAACGGGCTGTCTTACAGGCTGGTAGTTCGATTTCGCAATGTTCTTCGTTGAACTCGATCAGTTCCGCAAGGGTCTTGACTTTGGGTGTGTCCAGGCCGTTTGTGTAGGCTTTGAAGAGGGTGGAGAAATCGTTTTCTGGGGATGTGCTTAGTGGGGGTTTCTTGTATATTTGGTGTTATTGAGCTGACTGATTGTGGTTAAGACATCGTTCATGCTTTCATCTAATGTTGAAGCGGAGATTGGGTCGACTGGGCCGACGACGCGTTTGGCTGATGTTGAGATCTTTTTGTAGGCTGCAAGTGTTTCTCGTACCTGCTCGCTGGGTAAGGCATGGTTCTGTTTCGTTGGGAGTGTACTTACGATTTGGTTCAGTGATCCAGGTTGCGGCTTCTGAACGGCTTTTGGTAAACGCCAGTGCTTTGGATCCAAAGTACCAAAAGAAATATCCTTCCACCCTCTCGAAACCTCAGTATTATTATACCCTCGATCAGGCACTCCCGGTTGCTCCACATCCACAATAACATCCAGCAAACCAACAATGTCCTCAACACTCCTCGCCATAGGCCCAACACTATCCCTATTCTTCGAAAACGGGAACCCCCCGTGTTCCGATACTATACCAGGCGTAGTGCGGATAGTGTACAAAGCCGCACGAATAGCTGGATTCGTGAGAGAACCATTGA